ATAGGATCATAGAGTCTTTATACAATGGGATTGTCCACTATAAGATCACTTATCTGTGATACAAGGAGGTCACAATTCTTAACCATTGGAGGTGGAATCCAATAGCTTTGGTTATGTCACAAGGCTCGAAAAATTTTCTTTTGAACTTTGGGCATAGTCAATAACATACCTTCAGCCACTTGATTGTATATCTAACTGCCAAAAGTGGTTGTGACCTTGTGCCAAAAATAAATTGTTTTATCTTATATTTTTTCTTATACAATTGGGTGGCGATCAATATGAATTGCTAAAGTATTTCTAAAATGGCTCTCCTTTTGAATGTAGACAATATGGTTATACCGGGTATTTCGAAAAGAATTGGGTGTAGATGGAAACTGCCTCGGAATGCTTAAATTAAATTTTGATAGGAGTTCTCTAAAAAACCAAGGTTTGGTAGGAGTTGGAGGTCTTATTAGAAATCATCAAGGGCAGATTATTCTTTCATACTCAGGTTTGTGGTTGTGCTACCACTAATGAAGTTGAGATGAATATGGAATATGGTGTTACAAGGTTTGAATCTTTCACAGGTTTAAGGATTGATACTACATTGTGATTGTAAGGGGACACACAAAATGATGTCCAATGGTGTCTTCCTAAGCAAGAAACTCATATCACTTTAGGTGAAAATTTCAGACCTTATTGATAAGCTAACTCATTTCTTTTAGCCATGTCTATCAATAGAGAAATTAATAACGATGCAGATTAGTTGGCAATATAGGGTATTTTTTTTTTTTTTTTTTGGGTAATTTAGAGGGGCAGACAAACCCCTAAATGTAATTTTTTTTCAAATAATTTAGGAATTAGTTTTTTGAAATATTAATACGGTATTGTCAATGGAAATGAAAACTACAATATGGTGACAAATGTATAGGGGTGCTACCACTATGAACTCAGTCCCTTTCTTGGAATGATCCTTTCCTAGTTAGTTGTTCTTCATGATTCAATGTAATTTGTTGTATTTACAAGATCTAACTCTGCAATAGTTTTTAGGAAAAGTATACAAAGATATCATTTATTTTTAGTATAAGGGGTCACAAACACTTTTATCCGTCGGACTTGAAACTAGGTGGTCCTAAGGGTGTGATTGACTAGACTCAATGTTCCAAAAAAATTTCTCAAACTTTACGATACACCCTAAGCCATCAAAATTGGCATCTGATAACTAGAAGTAACTATTACCTCCTTGTAATAGAGATAGATGGTCTCATAGTATGAAATTCCTATTTTTTATTAATAAAATCAGTGAGTTGTGTCAAAAAAAAAAAACACTATGCTTCCATTTTTTTTTTGTTCATTTGTGAGGTGGATATGATACTATCTCTTTTCGGTCTTTTGGAGATACCAAGAGATAATCAACCCTTGTCTTTTGTTTCTCTCTTTAACCTTTCAAAATCAAACAGTTAATACCACTTTATTTATTTAGGCAATTGTTTAACATGCGGGCCAGACCGCATGACTACATATGTGGCCCAAAAAGTGTAAAGCATCCATCTTAACTATGAATGCAAGTAGGTGTTCCATCTAAAAATAATGGAAACTAAATGTCCAAATGTTTTTTTACTATAATTATTATTTTTAATTTTTAAAATTTATTTATTTTTTCATATTTATGATCTCCGAGTTAGAGATTACATCTCTTTAAAAATTAAGACAAAAAATCAACTTCAAAAATAGATTTATTAATTGGCCCACATTTCTACATATGCAGACTTGGCTGCATAGAAACCCGACAATGTTGATAGAAGAATAAACAACTTTCCTCCCAAAAGAAAAAGATAAAAGAAACAATCACCCACTATCTCTAAAATAAAATAGGTTGCTATTTCTTTATAGAAAAAGTTTGAATAGTGCCGAGGGTCTAAACAATTAAATTAGAGTGTATCTCAAAAATTTCACTAGAAGAGGTTGTTTTGATGCCCCAATATCCTCAAAATAATCATCTCGACACCAAGATGTATGGACATGAGAAAAAAATGGATTTCAGTTTTGGAACTAGTGCATCTTGTTATGCTCTTTTGGACCGTTAATTTTCAAGATCTTCAAGTTTTCATAGATCTGTTTGATCTATGCTATTTTTTAAGCTTTGAATTTTATAATTAGATATAAAAATATATTTTAAAGCTATCACAACGATTTCTAATATTGAAACCACATTTTCTGACACTATTTGAAGGTATGCTATACTTTGATTGTTTAGTGCCTCGGCTCTATATCAACAACATCCTTTCTCTAGTCGAGCACCATTGTCTTAGGTACCCTCGGGGTTTAAAAGCAAAGAAAGAAAGACATTATTTAATCCCAATGGGACAATATACCTCTACAGGGGCCCTCAACGCTTGATCTCACCGTCGGGAAAAAATACAAACTTAATCTATTATTTTTAGGGTGTGGTTTGTATAGAGCCTAGGCTCTAAACAATCAAATTAGAGCCTACTTTTAAATAGTATCGAGAATTGTGGTTTCAATATTGGAAATCTTTGTGATAGCCTTCAAATATATTTTTACATCTATCCATAAAGTGTAAAGCTTCAAAAATAGCGTAGATTGACAGATCTATGAACACTTGAAAATATTGAAAATTGACGCACCAAAAATGCGTTACAAAATACACTATTTCCTAACGTTGAAATCCATTTTTTTCTCGTATTCATGCATCTTGATGTCGAGATGGTCCATTTGAAGATACTTGAGCATCAAAAGAACCTCTTCTAGTGAAAGTTTTGAGGTAGGCTCAAATTTGATTGTGCAGAGCCTCGGCTCTATATAAACTTTTCTCTTATTTTTATTATCACTATTAAAGTTTTTTTTCAATTAATTGAGATCAGCTACACGAATCGTGATCAAAATTGTATACAATCCCAATATTTTAGATGTAAAATTAGGTGGTTGTATTTACTCTATTGACCAGACTCAAAGTTCAAAGAAATTTTTTTTTTCGAACTTTATGATATATACAAGCGCTATTAGATTTCACATTGGATGGTATAAGTAATTGTGACCTATTTATACAAAAGGTGAACCGTGGACGTCTCATTGTATACAATTCCAATATCATAGCATCTACATTGATTATTTCTGCAAAAAACAAAATAATTGAGTTCTTGAACACATAGACTTGATCATTAAAAAATAAAATATCCTTAGTTTAATCTTTATGATTTCTCTATTTTTAAGTTTTAATTTTTCGAATGATGCAAATTTTTATTTGAAAAATTGTTTCATCAGGCGAGGACCGTATTTCTACATTTGTAAGCCCCGGGGGTACAAAGCATTCATCTTAAAGATGGATACAAATAGGTGCTCTATCTAAAAATAATTGGAACTAACTGTCCAAATATTTTTCTAATAAAATTATTATTGTTAAATTCTAAATTTATTTAATTTTTCATATTCATAATCTCCATATTAAATGATTACATATCCTTAAAACTCAGGTCAAAAAATCCATCTCAAAAATAGATTTTTAAGAGAGGACTCGTTTCTGCATGAACTCATAGAAACCATGTGGTTTTTTTTTTTTTTCTCTTTTAATATTGATCACCGAGTTGAGCTGAGGAGATTCTCCGTCAAATTTTAACATCTAAAGAGGATGGCTTTTTGATTCAGGGATCAATGGACCACGTGATTGTCCTATTTTATTCTCATTGTAAAATTTCACATCGACTCTCCTGTCCTTTGGAAATGGAATTTCCCCTCTATGCCCCATACTATCAAATCACCCAACATGCGGTGGGTGAGCGAGATTTTTAGTGGTTTCTATACTTTCTATGGGCATTGTTGTTTATAGGACAAGGTCTTTTTTATGAGTGGGCTACACGAATTTTGGTTTGTGATTTTGTATTATTAAAAGTCATATCAAAAGTCATTATTATAAAATAACTTAAGTTTATTTGAAGAGAATCTTTGTGTCAATTAATTAATATGAATATATAAATTTATATAAATATATACGATAATAATATAAATAAATTACATATACCTATGCTATAGTCAAACTCATCATAAATATAAAATATTATATTTATCATTCTTTACCTACTGATTATAACATACACTTTCCATATTAACTTTATAGATAATATATACTTTTTTTTCATTCTTCCGCTCAAACTCAATATGCTAAGAGAAATAGCCGCTTGAGTTTGAACACTAAATTACATAAACAAGCAATTGGATATTAAGTTGCAGAAACAAATAATTGGATCTTCAAATATATAGTATAACCAATAAAAGCAATGATTTCTAGATTATTTGATAAACAAGCATGGAAAAATAATAGATCACGACAAACTCAAGCACAAAAAAAAAAATGTTAAATGTACTTTACTAATTTCTTGTGAATTTCAAAATTCAAAAAAGAAAAAATGTATTTAACTAAAATTTTGATTTTTAAAATTTGAATATCGTGAGGTTGATGTGAGAGAGAAAAAAAACCTTGGTTTGATAGGGAATGAATGCGAGCGCATATAAAATTGATGGATGATGAGAGAGAGATGGAGAAGGTTTGAGAGAGAGAGAGAGAGATGGTGATTGATTGGAAAGAGGAGAAGAGAGATAATTGAATTTTGAAAGGAAGAGCGGTTTGTAACGCAGCAAATAAATGTAGCGGGGAAAGAGGAGAAGAGATATAAAATAGAATTCAGAGGAAGAGCGGTTTGTAACGGAGCAAATAAATGTAGTGGAACAACACCTGTCAGTAACTCGCTGCACCTGGCCCCTTGCCTTACTAATCTCAAAGGAACATCCTTAGAATATTCCCTCGAATTTCGCTACTAATGTACTCGCAAATGACTAAAAACCCCTAACCTTTTACCAAAAACCTAAACCATCCAAAGCTAAAAATAAGCATTTAAAAATAATATAGAGTCATCGACTATCTCGACAGGGGCAAAATCGTCATTGGCATCAACAAAGCACAGCGTTAAATATATGCCTCCATCTTTTTGAAAAATGAAAGGGGTAGTCTTCATCAAATGGGGTAAACCGAAGAGGATAAGGCCATACACCCCTCCTCACTATTTAACGATCGTCCAATCCTTCAATCTTCAACGCGCTTTTTCTCTCTCTAGACTTACTCTCTCTCTCTCTCTCTCTCGCTATTTTCTTTTTAACATAATTCTCTCTCTCTCTCTCTCATGGATCCTTTTTCGCTCCTCGAAAAGTTGCAGGTCTTCGACGTCCATGGCCGCGATAAACGCGGCAGGAAGATACTGAGAATCACTGGGAAACTTTTTCCTGGTATGTACCGAAATAAACCCTTCTCTCTCTTGCTTTATTTCGCCATTATCACTCCCAAGAAAGCTTTAATGACTTCGGTCTGTACTTTTTTATTTGCCTGACAGTCTATTTCCTATGCAGCCACTCTGGTATCTGCGGAAACCCTAAAGAAGTTCTTGGCCGAGAGGGTTTTCCCCAAATTAGAGGATGGTCCCTTTTGTGTTGTGTATTTTCATACCAGAGTTCAGAGATGTGATAATTTTCCCGGCTTCTCTTCTCTCCGTTCTGTGTATGAGTTCATACCGGCTGCCATTAAAGACAACCTCGAATCCGTTTATTTTGTTCATCCAGGCCTTCAGGCCAGGCTTTTCTTGGCCACCTTCGGTCGGTTCTTGTTTAGTGGAGGGTAAGGACTCTCTCACTAACAACTCTATGTATCTTTCTCTCTCTAGAGAGGGTCTGAAAAGGGTTTTCTTGTGTGATTTGCAGGTTCATTGAGAAGGTGAAGTACGTAAACAGGCTGGAGTTTTTGTGGGAACACATAAGGAGAGGGGTATTATCGGAAATCCCCGATTTCATTCACGAACACGACGACGCCTTGGAGCACAGGCCCCTCATGGACTACGGTTTGGAAGTGGACCACAGAAGGCTCCATGACGTGCCTGCCATAGACTCGAGTGCGTCCTGCCTGTACTCCCTCAGGTGTAACTCATAACAGTGCTCCGACTGTCCTCCCTGGATTCATTTCAGAGGGCCGTTCATGGACTTGAAACTTTTTCTCTCTACCTCTTTTTCTTGGCTACTTTTTTCTTTTGTGTTTTCCTTTCCTGTAAATTTGAGGGCCTCCTTGAAAAAGGAGGCCTCTCTTTCAACTTCACGCTTCTTTAACACTGATACTAATTGTAGAATCCAGTTTTGAATCACACTGATGTAAGATTTCTGGTAGAATCCGGTTTAGTCAAGCGATATACACAATGTTTTGTGTCTTGGACTCCGGAGAGAGGTCGGAGGTAACGTGCAAACTGAGAAGTTAGACCCCGAATGGGCAGGGTGAGTATGGGCCATCCTAAAATCTGGTTTCGGTGGGCGAATCTGAATGATCATATCTCCTGTTGAAAAAATCGAATAAAGAAGAAAATAAAAGGGTGTGAAGTGGGAATCTGTTTTAGCCCGAGTAGTTTGAATCCAAGGGGATATCGTTGAATTCCGGATTGGACTGATTCTATAATCGATCTTTTTCTAAATTCTGATCGAATTTATTAATAAAGAACATTGGAGCCGGTCAATTCAGTGTCTCAATTTCTAACTTTATAGATACTGATCCATGTTACTGACGCATAAAGTTGAACACCTCTTTTTCTTGTAAATAAAAGGAAAAAAGAAAAAGCGTATAAAAAAAAGAAAGAAATTAGTAAAAGATGAACCTTTTTTTTTTGTTCAGGTTGAACCGGACTCTTTTAAAATAGTGTTTATTTGAAATTTTTTATCACATGTAAAATTTATAGTAAAATTAAATAAAAATAAGATTATTTTAAATAACGAATTATTTAACTTTTACCAGTGGCGTACGTATGCATCCGTAGCCGTAGCTGTAGAGGTACAGTGTACCTTTAAATTCTATCATAGTATATAAATTTAAAAAATGGTTAAAACGAAATAGATTTATAAACATATGAAAATCTTGAAAAATTTTAAACAAATGAACTATGTAGATGGTATGTTGTAAAATGCACTATTTTTGACACTTGAATCTTTTTAGTTTTCATGATCATACTTCTTTACCTTATGTTGTAAAATACATTATTTTTTAGATTTAATTTTTTTTATTTTTCATGATCATACCTCTATTTTTTCCGATGGATTTTTGATGTGTATCTGTAGTTCTGATGCATCTTTATATAATATTTTTTTTATTTAATTATTTTGATTTAGTTTTTTTGTTTTAAAAAAAAAGAGTTTTATTTGTCTTCGAATAGCATCAAGAAATGTGGTTTCAATATTAGAAATTTTTGTGATAGTTTTAAAATATATTTTTATATTTATTAAAAAAGTTTGAAGCTTCAAAAATAGAGCGGACTGATCTATGAGGATTTGAAAATTTTTAAAATTGATGGTTCAAAAATGGGTTACAAAATATACTATTTAAAAATTTTGAAATCTATTTTTTTTTCACGTCCATGCATCTTGATACCGAGATGATATTAAGGTATCAAAATTTCTTCTAGTGAAACTATTGAAGTATGCTCAAATTTCATTGTTTAGAGACTATATAAGCTTTTCTCTTAAAAAGAGATTGGGAGTTTTTTTAAGGCCTAAGATTTATGAAAATAAAATGAAGTCTCACTTTAAATTCTCCGAAATGCACATTTGACAACAAAATCATGATAGTTTTAAATCAATTTTCAACACCAAAATAGAATTTAAAACCATCACTTTTCAACTCCAAAATAGAATTTAAAACTAAAAAATGTAGAAATATTTTAAATATGTAAACTTTTATTTTTATGACGAAATTGATGGTCTACATAATTTATTACAATATATACTATTTTCAAAGTTTGAATTTTTTTTAATTTTTTTTTCAAGTTTTAGTGTTAAAAAGAAAATTGAAAAAATTACGTACATATCCGTTGTAGTTTACCGGTGTTTTTTCATATCATAACGAATTTTTTTTAAAAAAATATTTTTATCATTTTTCAACAATCGAATTTAATGTATTTTCGATTGTTCAACAACTAATCTTTCATGTAAACTCCATTGGGAAGAGTTTAAACGTACCTATCTAAAGTATAGAGTGAAAATAAATAAACATAGAGATGACCTATTATCACGCCTCAAGAATTTACAATACTGATATCCTTAAGATGTGACAGTCAAAATATATGTACATCTTTTGATAGGAAAAATTTACAGTGGCGAATTCTTACAAAGTAACAAAAGAAAGTTGAAGCACAACTACAATATCTTTCGGAGTTGATCCTGACGAGCACTTAAAATGAAACCGGAGAGCACTTAAAATAAAACTGCAGTTGAAAGAAGATCTATTAACAGAAATGCATTAACAGTTTTAGTTTCAAAAATACATAATTAAGTATAATCCGAATAATTGAAATGCATATAACATTTTAACGGCAGTGTAGAATTCAAAAGATTTTACAAATTACCCTACTGGCGTTCTAAGTAGGTCACTTATATATCTCATCAGTGTCCTGAGGGGTCCACTTAATCCCTATCGGCGTCTTAGATAGATCAACTTAATCCCTACTTAAAGTATTTCGTAATCCCTACTTAAAGTGTTTCTAAATTTCTTTAAACATTCGAAAGCATCAATATCATGTACTCAACATATCACTGAAATTATTTATATGAATTTCACTGAAGCCATTAATAATAGTCACTTTCAATAATATTTGAAAAATAACTAGTCAAATATTTTGAGCACAGACTTAGAAAGGTAGCAGTTCGTAAAGACATTCTAGCATAATTGTCAATCTAATATGTATAGAAAAACTCTTGTAGAAATTCGAGAATACGGAATTATCACAATTTATGGGATGTCAATTCGTAAATAAACATTTTACAGACAATGCTATAATCAATTGCAAAAATATCAGTTTTCAAATAATAAGACAGTCATTTTCACATGAAATTGACAATGTCTAAATCTTCAAAAACAGTAGAAAGAAATCTCACAATTTTACTAAAAGCAGAAATATCACATTTATTTCTAATAATTTTACAATATCTAAAATTTTCTAACAATAGACAAGAAAAATAAATAAATTTATTTCTAATAATTTACAGCATTTAAAATTTCTAACATAGATAAAATATCACAATTTTAATAAAAAAGATTATTTTTCAAAATAAAGAGGTTGTTTGCCCATAAAATTTATCGTGCGTAAAGTTCATGATAATAAGCAGAAGTAATTATTTCATTTCATTTTTAAAAAGAACGAATTATTTTTCAAGATAATGAAGTCACTTACCTAAAATATTTGAGAGGGAGCTTCCGATAAAAATTCAGCTAAAGAGAAAAAGAGCTCACTGCATTTCGACTAGAGAGAAAGATCTCAAAAATTGTCGAAGGTGAGAGTCCTCGCGTCTCCTATTTAAATTCTTAAGATACCTTATTATATTATTTAATTAAGTTATACCTCATACATGAGGTGTAAAAATTATATTACATATGAAACGTTTAAAGCCCACGTCCACTAAAGGCCGTAGTAATTAAAGGAAAAAAGTTAACAAAGTGGTGATGGTCCCTAAGGACCATAATACTTATATAGACCATCACACTATAAGAATTATTTATATATATATATATATTTTTATTTATTTATTATTTGTTTTTATTTTTTTTATTTGTTTTTATTCTTTTTTGAAAGTTTAGGATTGTTACATTCTTCTCCCCTTAAAGAAATTTAGTCATCTAAATTTGTGTACCTGATTACTGAAAAAGATAGGGATAATTTTCTCTGATATCGTCTTTTAATTCCCAAGTCGACTTCTCTCTTGAATGGTACTGCCATAATATACGGACCAAAAGAATTTCCTTGTTACGCAACACTTGTATCCTTCTATCCAATATCAAAATTGGCTGCTCAATAAATGATAGGTCCTTCCTGATCGATAAAGGTTCATATTTCAATATATAGGATGGGTCGGGCTGATATTTTCGTAGTGATGATACATGGAAGACATTATGGACGTTTGTCAATTCGGGTGGTAAGGCAAGTATATAAGCGACACCTCCGATTCTTTCCAGGATTTCAAATGGTCCGATGTAACATGGGCTCAGCTTTTCTTTCTTGCAGAATCTCATAATGCCTTTTATTGGTGAGATTTTTAGGAAAACTCGATCACCTTCCTCAAATTCAAGATCTCTCCTTCGGTTATCGGCATAACTCTTGTGCCGACTCTGAGCTGTCCTAAGTCTTTCTCGAATTAATGATATCTTATCTGTGGTTACCTGGACAATTTCTTGCCCCAAAAGCTTTCTTTCACCAACCTCGTCCCAACAAATGGGTGACCTGCATTTCCTTCCATATAGGGCTTCAAATGGTGCCATCTGAATACTGGCTTGAAAGCTAATATTATAAACAAACTCAATCAGGCGTAAATGGTCATCCCAGCTTCATGTAAAGTCAATGACACAGGCCCTCAACATATCTTCCAGGGTTTAGATGGTCCTCTCCGATTATCCATCAATATTGGCCGAGTATCCCTGTCCGATACAATATTGGCTGTAACTCCATGCAACCGCACTATTTTCTTAATGTACAACTGGGCCAATCGATCCAAACTGTACGTCGTGCGAATCGGCAGAAAGTGGGCAGCTTTGGTCAGCTGGTCCACAATGACCCAAATGCAATCATGTCCTGAATTTGTTCTACGCAAGCCAAAGACAAAATCCATAGAGATATGCTCCCGCTTCCACTCTGGTACGGGTAAAGACTGCAACAACCCAGTGGGCCTTTGATCCTCAGCTTTTACTTGCTGGCATGTTAGGCATATAAACACAAATAGTGCTACCTCTACTTTCATATTATTCCACCAAAAGGTTTTCTTCAGGTCCTGATACATTTTAAACTTCCGAGATGTATTGTATAACGAGAGTGATGTGCTTCTTCCAATATAGCTTTTTTCATACTCTCATCATTCGGGACACAAACCCGACCTTTGAATCTTAGCAAATCTTCACTGCATATAGAGAATTCTTCTCTCTTTCCCAGCTTCACCACTTCCACAATTGTTATAAGCCGATGGTCTTTCTTTTACGCCGATCGAATCTGTTGGATTAATTGGGGTTCTGCCTTAATGTTGTCAATCATACTTATCACACCATTAATGGATGGAGCAGGATGCCAATCCACTATTTCCTCTAACAATCTCATTTCTTGGATCATTAGATGAGCTAAGACTCCCGTAGATTTTCTACTTAGAGCGTCGGCCACAACGTTAGCTTTTCCTGAATGATAATGGATTGTACAATCATAATCTTTTAAGAAATCCATCCATCTTATCTGCCGCATACTTAAATCCTTCTGAGAGAAGAGGTATTTCAACCTCTTATGATCCGTGTATATTTCGAATTGCTCACCATATAGATAGCCTCCACATTTTCAAAGCGAATACTATTGCAGCCAGCTCCAAATC